GTAGGACTCACATTTTGGTGGTGGCAATGAGGATGGAGGGAAGAGGGAACCAGCTGTGAACAAGGAAACCACACAAGAATAGAACAATTCTAGTCAACGATAAACACCATGAAGAGACGGGCACAGGAGGGTGGGGAAGTCAGTGTCTGCCAATGGGCTTCTCTTAGGAAAGGACTGTGAGCTGAGACCTTAAAGCCATGTGAAGCTCAGGGAACAGAATGGAGGGGGATAAGGCTGGTGGTGGAGAATGGTGGGCCACCCACTGTGAGGTCATGGTGGAGCCTCAATACTCGTGGTTCTAGGAAGCAGGTGAGCAAAGGAGTCAAGTGTGAAGGAGCTCCTCCTGACAGAGAGAGGGAATGGATTGTAGGAGGTCAAAGTGAACGATGCTGTGGCAGCTTGGACTAGGGTGGATGTGGAGAGAAGTAGATCTTTTGGATCCATCTTGCGGTGTTTTTACTGATAGATCATGGTGGATGAGAGGTAGGGAGGGGGCAGAGGTAAGAGGGAGAGAAGACTCAGGCATGACCGTCAGATTTGGGGGAAGAGAAACCAACTATTTCTTCTGTTGTAATTTCACTCGGAGAAGGACATTTTGAGGGTACCCTGCTTGGGAGTTTTCAGCTGGTACACCCAAGCCATCAATTCCAGGTGCCATTGTGGATCTCTGTATATTTTCTAGGGAGAAGATCCACACCTCTCATCTGTTTCTTGGAAGGGAAAATCTCACCCTCCTCAACTGCCAGCAATGAAAAGGCTGGGTCTGACCCAGGCCAAACTCCCCACCTCACATCATTCCACAAGCAGGGAATCTGAAGCTCAGAGCTGTTTGTACAAAGTCACACCCCATCTGGTCCTCGGCAGAGTCTGAGGTCTCCTGATGCCTCAGCCTGGGTTTTCTCCACTGTATGAGCTGACTCAAGGCACAGGGGGGCAGAGTTATGAACTAGCAGTGATTCCAGCCCTCCTATCCTGGACTGACAAAAGGTTCTTGCTGTTTAGAGGTCAGTGCTCAGAATTGGCTGCCTCAGCTCCAGCCATGCCAGCAACTTCCCTCTGGCCAGCCTAACAGAAATTTAAAGAGGTCTGTTGCTAAGAAACATCCCCCATATTCAAGTGTGTATGAAATACAAGTAAGATCCAGGTGTCACTGGAACATATATTAGGCAGCAGTGAGGTATGTGTGTCGATCTATTTTGGGTGCAAATCACTAAGGTTTTGGGTCTGTGGGAGGGTGGTAAGCTCCAGCAGCAAGTGTTTCCTAAATATTTCTCCAGTAAGTCTTGAATTATAGTCTATCAGACAGGATCTTGAACAGAAGTCTCAAGTCGTAATAATGCCACTATATACTTTTTAAAAGCAGGAGTTAGAGTATTAGAGTAATCCAAGGTGACATGAATGCATGCTTCTTTTCAGTTTCAGCTTTCTGAAATTCAGGCACACTTTATGGGTTAATCTCTGAAGGTCAGCTAAAAGAAACAGAGGAGACAAAAAGAAGTTCTTTAAAAAAAAAAAAAGGCTTGTACTAGGGAGACAAAACCATGATGTTTTTAAAGGGTGGACTGATAAAATGGAGACCTCCTCCAGGAAATTTTCAAATGAAACTTTAAAAATCTCTATAATGATCTTTTCTGTAGCCTGGAGAGCCAATGCACCAAATAATGAAAGTGTTACAATTACAGCGCTCCTTACCCAGAAGCTTACTGCAGTGTGGTGAGGACTTAGAGACTTAGAGGCCACGTTCCTTGTGGCATTGTAACTGCCTCAAGACCGGCGGCCGAGTTTTACGGTGTGGTCCACTTTTAACCACACTGGAACTGATAAGAATTTCCAGGACAGAGAAATGTCTTCTCAACCACTAGTCTTACTCCACTAGAATCTGTAGATTTACTTTTTGTGTTTTGTCTCATGGTAGTTTGTGTCAAAGAGGCTTAAAGTTGCTGAATCTGCTTAAAGGAATAAATGTTATTTGGAAAATGCTATCATGGTTAACCATGAATTACATGATCAAGTTGATTGGTTGCTGAGTGGTTTTTGGCAAAGATCTGGGGGAATGAGATATCCCACAAATAAGTTTTGACACGTTAAGGAAGGGAACAAAAGTCCTGAGGCTGGGGAGGTTGCCTGGTGAGGGGAAACTCTGCACTGAGCAACGCTGGAGTGGATGATTGGAGTATCGAAAACCAAGCTAATCTCCTGGTCTGGCCCTACTGGGACTTGTCAAAGTTTTCTTTGCAAACAGCTTAGTTTTCCTTGAAAGTACATAGAAACCTGACATTAGACAGTTTGCTTTAAGCTTCATGCATGATGTTTATGATCCAGAGAGTGTGAGTGAGGCTCCTACTGTTCAAATGACAAAATCTGAGTCTCCAGCTAGGTGTCATTCTATCTGACAAGGGCTTGCAAGGCACCTGGAATTCAGTCACCTCTGAAAAAGGAGCTACTCCCTCCCTGGAAGGGGAAGTGATGCTGTCCTCATTTGAATCTTGGAGAGGCACTAGTATGTCTCCATCTCTTGCTTAGCTAGCCAAGTTGAAGAATTATGAAGACTGAATCAGCAAAGCACATTCTGGGAGCAACATGTTTCCTATGTGAAAGTAAATTTACCTCTAAAAAGGGTTAGTTTCCCTCACTCTCAGAACTTGTACAGTTTCCCTGGATGCATACTTAGTTTTAGTACCCGAGCCACAAAACTTCAGGAACATGTACCATACTCTTGACACCCCCAGGAGATGCTTGTTGAGTACTAGTTTAGGCTGAACAGATGAGTAACCTACTGCTCAGAGAGCTTAACTGCTTGCCCAAACTAGAAACAAATAGAGCTCGAGTTTGAACTTAGGTCCACCTGGCTGTAAAACCAGCCACATTTCCACTGTCCCATGTTTGACAAAAGCAAACTTCAGCAAATTGGTAGCTATGGTGGGCGGGGGGCAGGACAGGAAGATGTTTCTGGCATCTCGAGAGGGAGGAACTCCTTTTCATTATTTCTTTGGGAGGGGGTTGGGGCTCAAAAATCTCCGCTTCACTACTTCAGTTTTGAGTGACCTGGGAAATACCCTTTCTTTTTCACTATGCCCATCTGTCCAAGAGACAGTAGAACCAGATCACCTCTCAGGACCCTGCTGGCACTGACTTAATGTCTGCCTGACCAGAGGAGAACCAGTGGGCCATTCTGGCTGTGTGTCAGGTATGGGTTGGGTTTGCCTTAGTATCACAGATTGGCCAGGTGGCCAGAAAGTCTGTTTTCTCTTCTTAGGCACACAATTGAACTGTATTCCCCAGCCCCCTTTGCATCTGTATGGGGTCATGTGACTAAGTTCTCATCAGCGAATGCAAGGACAGATTGATGTGTCATCCTGAGGCCAAGGCAGCTGAGAGCAGTTATGCCTTGCCCAGCTCGCCCTTCCCCTTCCACACAACCTTGGAGGTGACGCGGACAGCAGCATTCCCAAGATGGAAGAAGTTTGGATTCCTGAGTCAGGGCTTGGCAGAGAGCTGCCAAGGGAGCTGCCCAACCAGAACACTCTGCACTAGATTCCGTGCGAGAGAAAAACACAGCTTAATGTGAAACCAAAGGCAACTTTAAGTATCTTACTGCTAAGATATTTGGGGTTGCTTATCACAGTAGCTACTGTTAATCACCTTGACTAACGTGATTGTCAAATGATAATCCCAGGGCACATCTTCCAATCCATCCTGTCATAGCTCAGATGGTAAAGAATCTGCCTGAATGCAGGAGACCCAGGTTCAATCTGTGGGTCAGGAAGATCCTCTAGAGAAGGTAATGGCAACCCACTCCAGCACTCTTGCCTGGGAAATCCCATGGACAGAGGGATCTGGTGGGCTATCGTCCATGGGCTTGCAAAGAGTATAACATGACTGAGCAGCTGACACTTTCTCCACACTTGACTAACATGGCCATCCAGTATCCATTTCTCTTTCTGAGGGACAGAGCATGATTCCCTGTCCATATGCTCCAAAAGATATATAAGTAATACAGGCCTGACCAATCATAGCATAGCATGATTGGTCATCCTCCCAGCCATAGTGACAGGTTTCAAAATGGGCATTTGAGCCAAGCAGGGCCTTTCTGCTAGATCTGAAGCTGTGATTAGAGTACAAGCTGCTGGGGGCTTCCACATGAGGAAAGAATGGCCTTAGAAGAGAACAGAGCCAAAAGACAAGGAGAGTGAGGTTGGGATGACCTGCACACACTGCCTAAGTCCCTGGGTTTAGTCACACTTGATCTGCCCAAGGTTACTTCAGTTGCCTAAGCCAATAAAGTCTCCTTTTGTTATCTTGGATTGGGTTTTTTTTTTTTTTTTGGTCACTTGTGACCAAAAGAATATTGACTTATACAGGTAGTAAAGATGAGGAATGTCAATTTTCTACATTTTGTAAGTAATCCATCTTCACCCACTCAATTTCAGAATGAGTGAGTGAATGAATGGCCACAGAGGCTGGAGTCATGGGCAGAGTTAACTACGATTCAGCCAAAACACTAGGGCATTTGGTGAAAGGTCTTAAAGTTACATCACTTGTTTTCTATATAATGTTTGAAAACGTGATGTATTAGAATAAATGATTATAACTTTAAGTTACCTAATGAGTATGCATTATAATACAGGATGTACAAATAAATGCAAAACCTGTAAATTATTTGATGGATTTCTTTGACAATTCACAGTGGTCTGCCTTAAACTCTTTCTGAATGATGAGGCTCAATTATCATTGCAGGAGTGATTGTACAATTATAGTTAGGCTTGGTTTGGAAGCTTTAGTAATTGTGAGAAGAGAAAAAATGGCCTCTATGAGGCAGAAAATAATATATACATTTCAGTAAGTATTTTCTGTATTGAGTTTTCCTTGGTTCATTTTCAAATTCATATGGATTGTGATACTTCCTTACTCGGCCAAATTCAGAATAAATGAGTGAGTGATGCAAGGTTTTATGCAAAGTTGCATAATTTAGGACTGAAAACTCAAATCAGGTTGCTTACCAGAAGATAGCCCCATGAAACTGTGAAGTCCTGAAGACCAGATGTGAGGTCAGTATTGATCCAGATAATAAGTGACTGCAATCCTCTAAGACCCATTTCTCCCAATTAATGCCTCCGATTTCCCTCATGGAGCAGTTCTGCATCTGTAGACTTCACACAGCACAATCCTGATGGGCCGGCTTTCTCCTGGGCAACAGAAAGATGGATAGAGAACACTTCAAAAAAGATACACAGATGGACAATAAGCAAAAAGAAAGATACTCCAGGGCTTCCCTCGTGGCTCCGTAGTAAAGAATTCTACCTGCCAGTGCAGGAGACATGGGTTTGATCCCTGGTCTGGGAAGATCCCACATGCCATGGAGCACCAGAACCTGTGCACCACAACTACTGAAGCCCCTGCACCCTAGAGCCTCTGCTTCGCAACAGGAGAAGCAACCACAATGAGGAGACCTCGCATTGCAACGAAGAGTGGTCCCCATTCTCTGCAACTAGAGAAAAGTCAGTGCAGCAACGAAGACCCAGCACAGCCAAAAATGAATAAATAGATAAATAATTTAAAATATGTTCCCTATCATATGTCATCAGAGAAATGCAAATTAAAATAACAGTGATAAACCACTGCACATCTATTGGAATAGTCAAAATCTGTAACATTGATGACACCAAATGCTGGCTAGGATGCAGTAAAATTACTTGTATGACACTGTAATTGTCATGTCACTGACCCATTGTACATTTGTCTGAACCCACAGAATGTACAACGCCAAGAGTGAACCCTCATGTAAACTATGGACGTTGTGTGATAAAGATGTATCAGTGTGGGTTTACTGATCGTGATAAATGTACTACTCTGGTCTGAGATGTTGATAGTGGGGGGAAAAGTGTATATGAGAAATCTGGGTTTCTCTTTGGTGTGAGTGAGATACTGATAGTGAGGGGCAACTGTACATATATGGGGCAAAGCGTATATGAGAAATCTTAGTTTCTTCTGTTGCCATGAACTGAAGACTGTTGTACAAAAATACTCTTCAAAAATAAGATAGCTACAGCGTTCCATACTTTGACATCATTGCAATGTACTCTCAAGGGTGAGAGAGAAGATCTTTTGGACTAGCTTTTGCAGAGGAACAGAAATACTTTAATGCTGGACAGACTCAGCAATGTCACCTCACACCCTCGTGTTTCACTGTAGCCAGAGAGTGAGGGACACTGGCTGACCTAAGCCAACCTGGAGTTTCAGCTTCACCTAAATCACATGGCTGGGCGGGAAGGAGGATGGCTTCCCAGGAAGAGGGCAAATGAGTGATGAGTAGGAGATAAAGATGTTCCCAGTAAATGGGAAGTTTATTTTCTTCCCTGAACCTGAATATCCTCATATCTCAAAATTCTATAGCATTTCTCTAAAGAGCCATTTAATTTTGGTCCACTGAACTGGTCTCCAAGGGACACAGAAATTACACAATAGACATTACTTAAAGAAAGCCCATCAGGAAAAGTAATACTTGTTGTAATGTTCCCATATTTCAGTGGCTGAACACAACAGAAGTTAGTTCTTGCTCCTCTGAAAGAGATGGATTGCCAGGTGGTTTATCACACTGTGATTCAGAAATCCTGGTTTCTTCTGTCTTTTGCCTCAGTCAAAGACCTCAGCAGTCTTCAATTCCAGATTACAGATGGGAAAAGAGTGGAGAATGGCCTGTAGGAAGTTTTTATGCACATCACTTCATTCACATTCTTTTGGGCAGAACTCAGTCTCAAGGCCATGCCTTCACTGCAAAGGAGGCTGGGAAACATAGTCCAGCCAAGTGTCAGGAAAAAAAAAAGTCATAAAAAAGGAAAGGAAGGACAATGAAAGAAATTTCATTCATCGAGTGCATATGCTGATAAAGAAAATCTTTATCTAAATTTATACATATATATATATATATATATATATAAGACAATAGGTGAGAATAGCTACAGGTTACATGGGACAAGACCTATGCTGACGTTGAGTATTCTGAACCTCCATTTTCTCTTCTGCAAAATGGGACGATTAACAGACCTACTTGATAGGGTTAGAATGAAGATTAAAAGAGATAATGCATGAAAGTACTAGTACAATGACTAACACCTGATAAGTGCTTAATCCCTGCTAGCTGCTGTCATTAGTTATTTATCTTCCATTAGAAAAATACCCATTCTTGGAGAATCACTGATTTTTATACTGTGTGCCCCGAAAGGCTCCTGAGGAAATCATGCTCAGCTTGACTTCTGTAGCCCTTTTTTATTCACCAAAAAATCCCATTATTTTCTATAAGATATTTTGAATTCCCTGTGGAAGCAAGAACCATAGTAACAAGCTTTCAGCTTCGTTTTGCTTCTGAAATGATCATTAATGGAGTTATTTTGATACTTTTTTTTTTTTTTTACAAGACAGCCTTAAGCTGTAACTACAAATGCTTTTTCAAAATTCCCTGATTTATTTTCCTGCTTGGCTGCGCTCTTGCGTCTGTCTTCATCTGTTTTTGATGAATGGATGATGTTGTCTTCAGATGTTCTCAACCATCCTGGGCACATTAAAATCCACTCGATGGCTTTCATCAAATGGAACACAAGAAGGGGAAACCCAAGCAAGAGACACACAGGCACCTGCTGAGGGACTAGTGTTGTGGAAGTTTACAAAGTCAGCCTCTGATTATAAAGATTCTTCCTTAAGGAGAAAAGAAAAAAAAGAAAAGAAAAGCAAAAGAGAAACAACACACATTTACTTCAAAGAACTCCTGTCTGATTGAGGGAAGAAAAAGTAGCCTCGCGGCTTTGATCCCTTCACTGAGAGAAACAACATGAAAAGAAAAGAGAAAAGGCTCAAAACATGGGCTTTTGTTGAGAGCATCATTAGGGGTGTTTATTGGCTGCAGCAAACTCATATCGCGGCTCTGGAGAGTTCAGTGAGGCCTCATCAGCTTCTGCCTGGATGGCCAGGCCGTTCACTCTGGGCCACACTTTTTTCCAAGTGAGGCAGCAGGTCTCAAACCTCCTTGACCTCTACTGAGTTCAAGCTTTAGAAACAAACTTGGGTTTTTAAAATTTTTTTCACGACTTTGCTTTGTTTACCTTTGGTAAACACTGTCTGATTCTTTGTTCCCCTTGAAGAGAAAAGCTCTTCAAAGAGCTAATGAAAAGCCTTTTTGCACATCAGCTTCTTCAAAACAACATTGTGATGAGTTAAGTGCAAACAAATCAGGATCAGATGAATTACATTTTCCCTTTAAAATTCAGAGTTGAACAAATTTAAGGTGGTGGGGGAAGTGTTTTGTAAAAGTGCTCTTCAAATCCAGAGTACTGAGTGGCAATCAATATGGACCAAATCTGCCCCTCTGTACTTGTAGGACAGTATTTCTCAACTGGTGTGCACGACCTAAGTTCCTTCCGGGTGAGCTGTCAAATTTTGATGAATGTGTGACATTAATTTGTCCTGCATTTATGTATATGTATCGCTGATTCACTTTGCTGTATGATTTAGGAACTAACACAATACTGTAAAGCAACTATATGCCAATAAAAATTGACTTTAAAAAATTCGTCCTGCAATGAGGAAATTCCCAACCCAGCGACATTGAAGAGACAGAATAGGAAGCTGAGTGCACAGCTACTGCTTATTGCAAAGAGGTAAAACGTACAATTTAACAGGAAACCAGAATCAAAGATTGAGTAATGTGGGGACTGTGAGATTTTTGCTCCATGAGCATATAAGAGTGTGGTCAGGGTGAGACATGGTCACAAAAAACTGATGGTGAGAGCAAACGTCCCATCAGCGCAAAGAAAGATACATTTTGCTGCAATGGGTCTTGCCTTTGAAAAGAGCCACAAATGCCTTTATTTCATCATTTCTGATGCTTCTCTAGTTTTCAGAGCTCTTTCAGGGCAACAGACGATGAGATGGTTGGATGGCATTATCGACTCAAAGGACATGAGTTTGAGCAAACTCCAGGAGATAATGAAGGACAGGGAAGCCTGGTGTACTGCAGTCCATGGGGTTGCAGACTCGGACACGATTGAGTGACTGAACAACAAAAACAACTCTCTCTGTCTTCTTCCATCAAAAGCATAAAGAAGAGATTTATGGAGTCCCGAAGCCAGATCTTGTGTTTTCAGATGACTCTTTTGGATAAACTTGGGTGAGTAAATTCATATAACTCAATAGCTTATTCCAAGGGAGAGAGCTGCTTTGAGACTGTTCTAAAATAAACAATGTTTGCAGGCTTTTTCTTTTAAATATTGAAAAATTGTTTTTACAGTTAATTTTTAAGTTTTTATTGTTTTTATTTATTGGGCCTTTTGAAGGAAAAATGATCTGAGAACCAAACTCTTACCATCCCCAAAGTGAGGAGTTTCACTATATGTATTACAATATTACTTAAATTTATATTGCAGAAAAATAGATATAAATTTATGTCTGTAATTCTTATAAACTATAAAAGGAAAAACAAATTTACAGGTTAAAACCAAACAGTCAAACCAATAAAACTCAAATTCACAACATTAATGTGGAAGATGACATAGTTTTTCTGTAACTAAATCACTATACTCAAAACAAGATGCTGACCATGTTTGCTTTTGGGGAAATTTTCTGGGCACAAAGGCAGCCCTTCAGTGTTATGTCCAACTTGGTTCTTTACTGCCTAGCCTTTGACAAACTATTAATAATACTATTGGGTGCCAAGATAAATGTAACCACGAAGCAATTTGGTCGCTGGGATTGCCTTGTATATAGGTGTATGGCTGTGTGGCTGTGTGCATAGTCATGCCAGACTCTTTATGACCCCATGGACTGTAGGCTCCTCTGTCCATGGAATTTTCCAGGCAAGAATACTGCCATTTCCTACTCTAGGGGATCTTCCCAACCCAGGGATGGAACCCGCATCTCTGGTCTCTCCTGCATCAACAGGTGGATTCTTTACCACTAGCATCACTGACATAGGTGTATAGGTCCGTCTTTACATATAGGTTGGCTATCTAGGTGATACAGAATATGCTCATATTGATTTTTTTTATCTTTAACCTGAAAGCCCCAAATTTGAAAACTCCCCTTTAGACAGTTCATAGGTACTCATAAATTCTTTTCAGTAACCCAGTAAATATGTGGGTTTAGAGTTAAACTATTCAACTCAAGCTTAGAATGAAATGGTTTTGATTATAAC